GGGGGGGGGAAATTGTATGTTTATTCAGAGAAAGTATGTTTTTGTGCCTGATTTCGTAACTCGAAATATCGCCTTCACTAATTCATTAGCTTATTCGAGGTTACTCCCTCGAACCAATTATTGGATCGAAAATCCAATTATTGGATCAAAAGATATTCACGGTGATAATTTTTTTTTTGTCGCAATTCACAAAGATAATTGCATGTAAAAAAACATTATTTTAGTCATTATTTTACTTAATAATTGAAAATATATTTAATCGTTGTTAATCCCGTGATAGCTCAGAGGACAGAGCGTTCGCCTTCCAATGTTGTGAACCGGGTTCGAATCCTAGTGAAGCTGTTTGATACGAATTCCGCATCCGTCTTGCACCAACCATGGTGCTGACCTGAAATATCCTCAGTTATTGACGGATCATGGGTTAGAGTCCCCCTACAGTCGGGCTAACCGTGGGAAGTTTGCGTGGTTTTCCCTTCCATGTTACGCAAGTGTGGATTAGCTTCATCAAAAAGGTCCTCCACGAAGGCAAATATCTCCCAATGCTTGATCCAAGAGTTCCGCTGCTTTCTGGATTCGGTTCAAAATTATAAGGCTACGGAGTTGAACATTAGTGGTCGTAAAACCAAAATTGGGTCGGTTGTTCAGCGATGGTCATAAATTAAAATCGCCGGAAATTTTTTTCCCGTCATTAGAAGGTATGTATTTTTAAATTAAATGAATTTGAAAGCATGTATTTTTAATGAAAATAAATTTGAGCAAAATTCGTCAAATAATCATTAAGAAAGAAATATTTCATAAGTACGATTTTTTTTTTTTTATAACTCTGAAATTATTCAATCCATTTCGTCCAGATTTAGAATTTTGCATTTAAAACTAATAACTTAAATAAAAAAATTTACATACATTATAATTTTAAATGTTTTCAAATATATTATTAGATAAGCAAATAAAAAGAATACTTGACAATTATTAAAACTTATTTTTTACTTAGAACTACGTTTGCATAAATAAATTTTATAATACTGCTTCATTAAAACAAATTTCTATACTTGGCGAAATACGCAATAAGTGAGATTAGCATTAAGGGGCCCAAATGCTTGGCTCATTTTCATATCGTGACCATATTTTACACATTCTCCCAATATGTTTATATTATCAAAAATTTCACATCTGTCGAATAGCACGTACGTTTATTCAGAGAAATGACGTTTTTGTGTCCGAAACTTAATTATGATTCAGTGTCATCAGTACCGAGTCGTATTAAAATAAGAAATAAATAAATTAAAGAAGAATTTTCTTCTAATTAAGTTCTCTCATTAACACGTTAAATCCTAATTGATTCTTAGAATTGAGAATCTGAGAGAGAAATATTACGCAAATACTTTTCTAAAATTATATTTATTTAAATACAGTACGAAAAATGCGGGCCCCTCTGAGTAATTTTTTATCTAATGATCAATCTTAATGGTAGGAGGGAGTGACTTCAAATTTGCTAATTAATTAAAGCAGACGCAAAAAGAGACTTTCTTTGGATAAACATACCTTTTCTTGAACGGATTCCCAAAATATAGGGGGTGGCAGCAATTTGGGAAATGTTCTGTTTATTTGCCATATCTCGAAATCTTTGTAAGCAAATTAAAGAAATTTTGAGCACAATTATGAAATGTTTTTATCCTTAGAAAATTCCGCGCATAAAATAAATTTTAGAAAATATTTATTATTTTGATTAATAAAAGTGGGAAAAGTTTGTATTGTAAGGTATATAATTTTTACATCAATTTAAAGAAATTTTACATGGCAAATTACAAAATTTGTGCGGAATCGGTAGAACAGCTCCTGAGAAATCGGTATTAGAAAATCGCACCAAGAATCGTTTTAAAAAAATAATGATTTCGTATACTTAAAATTTTATTTCTCAGCAATTTCGCGAATTTTAAAAATGCCGTATGTGAAATTTGATTTCTCAGAATCCATTCAATCGATTTTGTTCAAGTTTTATATTTTTCCATGCAAAATTACATTCTTTAAAATGCCGTAAAAAATAATTCGAAATTGTTTCATTATAATCTTTGAATAAACGAGTT